AGCAGCAGAGTGAGTGCCCCCAGGGCGCTTGGCAGGCGCCACCGGCCAAAGCACTGAATTAGGGTTTAGGGTCCAGGGTTTAGGGTTTACGGCCTTTTCTGCTGCTGTTACAATTCCCAAGAAATCCGTTTCTTGAATTTCTGTATATTCCCCGTGGCCTTTTTCTCTAAGGGCAGTTTGCTTCTGCTTCGCAGCCTAAAACAAATAAATAAATAAATAAGTAAATAAATAAAAATAAATAAATATAAATAACAAATAAATAAATAAATAAAAGTGTTTAAAAGAATGAGCTCTTTAGGGTTTCTACGCGCTGCGCTGGCCGCCCGCCGCGAAGCAGAGGTGGCCCCAAGGGTTTAGGGTTTAGGGTTTAGGGTTTAGGGTTTAGGGTTTGGCGCGCCCGGAGCTCCTGCATGCGCCGCTCACGCCAGTGAGACAAATCGTCGAGGCCCTTTCCCTCCGCTTCCTCTGCAGCAAGAAGTCCGCAGCAGCAACTGCTGCTGCTGCTGCTGCTGCTGCTGCTGTTGCTGCTGCTGCTGCTGTTGCTGCTGCTGTCGTGCATGTGCTGCGCAAAGCTTACCGGATTCAACCGCGGATAAGTTGGAGGCTGTCCTTTGCTGCTGCTGCTGCTGCAGCTTCTGCTGCGCAGCAGCAGCAGCCAACTTGTCCTTCGCTGCCTTCTCCTGCAGCAGCAGCAGCAGCAGCAGCAGCAGCAGCAGATAATGCCATCGCTGCAGCAGCAGCAGAAAGGGACCCCAGAGGTGGCACCGGGGAGGTGAGAATACCCTGCCTGCAAAACCTATACCCTAAATCGTCCAAACCCTAAACCCTAAACCCTAAACCCTGAGAACCCTAAACCCTAAACCCTAAACCCTAAACCCTCAACAAACATACCAACACAATGTTGGTGGCAATTTGAGCCAGCTTTTCCGAAGTCGCCATTTCCGCGGAGTTTCACAAAAAGGCTGAAGAGCAAAATCTGAGGTGTACGTACACCCCACCCCCCAGCGTCCGCAGCAGCAGCAGCAGCAGCTGCAGCAGCAGCAGCAGCTTCTGCGGGTTGCTGCAGCAGCACCAGCAGTACTGTAGACTAATTAAAATTCCCTTTTTAAATATTTGAAAAAGAAAATTCAAAGAAAGAAAACAAATGGTGCAGAAACGCGAGCGGGCGCTGCGCCGACAGGAAGCTGCGCGTACACCCCAAATGCGTTGGCGTTAAATGGACCTTTTTAATTATTCAATTTACAAACAATTAATTTGATCCAAATTAATTAATATTTAGCAATAAAAAGGCAATTAGAGGCAACACGACGAACCGCCAGAGGGCTGCAGCCTGCGGGCAGCTCGGTACTCCGCGAGGTTGGGGTGTATGTACACCTCAGCACCCGTTCGAAAGCTCCAAAAACTTCAGAAAACATAAAGTGCTGTCACTTTGATTTTAGTTGACGCAAAAAGAAGCAAAAAAAGCGGCAAGAGGGCACTCAAGGGGGCCCCTGCCGGGGGCCCCCTTCAATGTACACCTGGATGGGGCCCCCAGCAACAACAGAGGTACAGCCAGACGCAGCATTTTGAGCATTGGGCAGCTTAAACTGGTTTATTATTTTGTTTTGTTTTATTATTATTTTACTTATTATTTTATTTATTATTTGATTCATTTCTTCGCTCATTTGAGCCCTCATTTATTATCTTCCGTGCCCGCAGCAAGAAGACCCATTGAGGTGTACAGACACCTCAGATGCACCTTCTAAAGTTGCCCCTAATGACTGCCCTAGGCAAAGACTAGAAATCCAGCAGCAGCAGCAGCAGCAGAAGCCACAAATGCAGAAGTAATTAAGGCATTAAAACGTTTCCGTCTGCCACCATAATGCCCAAACTTCCTATGACACGCAGCAGCAGTTGCTGCTGCTGCTGCTGCTGCTGTTGCTGTCGTTGTTATCGCTGCCGCACTTACTGCTGCTGCTGCTGCCGCCCCTATTGCTGCTAGTGCCATCGCTGTCATTGCTGCTGCTGCTTCTGCTGCTGCTGCTGTCGCTACTGCTGCTTCTGCTGCTGCCGCTGCTGCTGCTGCTGCTGCTGCTGCTGCTTCAGGAAGCTTTTTTGGCCCATCTTAGTATTCTGTTCCTCGTGGCTGCTGAAAGGGCCCCTCCCCAAGTGGGGTTTATTTCTGTCAGCTTTTGCTGCTGCAGTTCTCCAATTTGCTGCTGCGGCAATTCTGCAGCAGGTGCACACAGACCAGCAGCAGCAGCAGCTCCTGCTGCAGCTGCTGCTGCTTCTGGAGAGGCTTGCTGGCAGCTGTCTGTATTTTCGTCGTCTGTATCGAATAGCAGGTCATTGTCTAGCTGCTGCTGCTGCTGCTGCATATGTTGCTGCTGCATTTGTAGCTCCTGCTGCTCCTGCAGTTGCTGCTGCTGCACCTCTGCCACTGCAGCAGCAGCAGATTGCAGAGGAAGCCTCACAAGCTCACCAAATGATAGGGGCTTCTCTACAGGGTCTCCCAAGGGCCCCCCAAGGGGGGCCCCTAGGGGCCCCCCCAGGGGGCCCCCAAGGGGGGCCCCCGTCTGCTGCTGTGGAGGGCCCCCTGTCCTTTTCCCTGGGGGCCCCTTAAAGCGCTGCTGCCCAAATGTTGTCTCTGGGGGCCCCTCAGGAGGCCCTGGGGGGCCCCCAGGGGGCCCCCCATTAGCTGCTGCTGCTGTTGCAGATTCAAATGCACACACGGGAGGCCCCGGGGGGCCCCCATAGGGGGCCCCCTGGGAGGCCCCATAGGGGGCCCCCCTCGCAGCAGCTTCCGCGTACCCTAGTGAAGCCCTGGGGGTCCCCAGGGGGGCCCCCTGAGAAGCCCCCAGGGGGGCCCCCTGAGGGGCCCCCTGAGGGGCCCCCAGGGGGGCCCCCTGAGGGGCCCCCATGGGGGGCCCCCGTCTGAACAGCTGGCTTTGGTCTTTTTTGAATACTTTTCTGTTTCCCTTTTGCTGCTGCTGAGAATTCCAATGAGGTCGGAGGCATTTCTCAATCTTTGCTGGTCCTGCTGCTGCTGCTGCTGCTGCTGCTGCTGTTGCTGGTGCGCCCAAACTCGCGAGCCCTTCCTGCTGCAGCCACGGCTGCTGGTGCTGCTGCTGCTGCTTAGACCGCCAGCCCTCTCTTGCTGCTGCTGGTGCTGCTGCTGCTGAGCAAGCTGAGGGGGGCTCTGTGGGGCAGGACTTCTGCTGTTGCTCCTTTCGCTGCTGCTGTTGCTGCTCCTGCTGCTGCTGCAGACGCTGCTGTTGCTGCTGCTGCTGTAGTAACAAACGTTCTTCCTCTGCCGCATTCCCTTCGCATGTCTTCTTCCGCTGCTGCTGTTGCTGCTGCAGCTGTTGTTGTTGCTGCTGCTGCTGTATTTTACCAGCAGCAGCCTCAGACCCAGCAGCAGCAGCAGCAGCAGCAGCAGCAGGAAGCCGGCCGCTTCGACAGCTGCTGGCCACTGGCTGCGAAGCCAACTCCAGTTCCTCCAGCAGCGCAGCAAAACGAGCAGCAGCAGAAACCCTCAAACGGGGGGCCCCCTGACTGGGGGCCCCCTGAGTTGGGGGCCCCCTAGGGGTGGGGGCCCCCTGAGGGGGGCCCCCTTGGCTGAGCGGGTAGGGGGGCCCCTCTTGCTGCTTCTTAGAGGGGGGGGCCCCCTGAGCTGCTGCAGCACTGTACCCTCTTTTTGGGGGGCCCCCCAGCTTTAAAGGGGAGGCCTGGGGGTCCCCCCTGTGGGGTGTATCTGCAGCTTGGGGTGTCTCTGCAGCAGCTTGCTGAGGACACAGAGACGCGTTTGCTGCAGCAGCAAGCGAGGCAAACGGCTGCTGCTGCTGCTGCTGCTGTGGCTGCTGCTGCTGCTGCT